AATAGTTGCTTTATGCCAAAAAATGTTTTTTAAGGATGGCTGAAAAAATAGCTGGTTTTTTTTTATTAGTGACAATAAAAGCTGACTTTTTTGCACAATGTTTTTTATTTTTAATACCTCAAATTTAAAAAGTTTTTTATTTTAAATTTATTTTAACTTTGTTTATAAGCTAAAATAATTTAATTACGATTTCAAGTAGCAAACTTACCAATGTTTTTGTTTTTATCAATTACCAACTCTGTACAAATATTGATCAAAGCTAAACAATTTCGGTGGTGGTCTTGTACCATGGTGCTTCACATATAATTTTTCAGGCACCAAAGTGAATAAATTATCCACTCACATTTACATGAAGTTAATGGAAAGGTAGCAAGTAAGTTTTTAATCTTTTCACAAGCTCGAAATATTTATAATTTTTAACAACTCATTGATATTAAAATGGATTTCATCTATCTAAATTTAACTAAAAGGCTTCGCATAAATAAAGCTCACAAGGTAAAGCATGGGAATTCAGTAAATATGTTTCATAAAATTCACTAAAAGATATGACAAAGTCTTTTTAGTGTCACGAAAAAAATTGAACTTCTGAAATTATTTTTGTAGGAACTAGCTCAAAGTTCTTGAAAAGTATCCATAAGAAAATTAAACTTTTTCAAAAACTTTTTTTTGACTTTACAGGCTTCCATAGTTTTAACGAAGTTGTTTTAAAATATTTTAGGTGCAAGTGTCTAAATTACTACATTCTAATTTGGAGATAGAACAATGTAATACACACTTGTTTTTATAAAATAAAATATTATTTTGTTCTATCTCCATTTTCTGTTAAAAAAAAAACATAATACAAGCTAGTATTTTTTATATATATTATGGCAAGGTGAATGCATATTTTAGAAATTAAAGTACTGCATGGTACATATCTGTTTTATTCAAGGCAATCTATACTAAAGGCCTATTCATCAAGCAACCGTAGGCCATGACTTGGGGCCTATTATTTTTACGGGTTATCAGCAGCTCTGCTATAAAATTATATTTTAGAGTCAAAATATAATTGTTAATGAGTTTAATTAGTTTATTTAGAAATATTTATATGAAAATGTAATAAAAAGTTAAAATTTTAAATTAAAACAAAAATTAAAAACAAAGAAAATATTTGCATATATTTTAACAACGACATATACAAAGCATTCTTTTCTGAACAAATTTATGATTTTGGTTAAAAAAATTTATGAGTTTTGGATTATTAGATTTTGGTGTAATTTGTGCACAAAATTGTTTAAAAATATATTTGCAAGTGTGTTGAAATTTTTATGATTAATTTCAAAACTATAAAATTCAGAAACCAGCAGAAAGATGTCACTTAGGATTTACAACAAACTTTATCTTTTATTTAATGGAATAAAACAAAGCAAAAAAAAACCCATTGGCAAACATTGTTTGGTGCAATTTTAAGACCACAACGATCTATAGACTTGAGGTACTCACCAAACATTTCATAATAAAGTAATGTTTGATTGAAAAAATTGTTTTCATTATATTCATTTCTACATTCATAACCAGCAATATATATCAAAGAATATTTGGTAGCACCTGAAATTGATAACTCTATTTTTTCTAAATTGTTAAATATTTCACTACTTGCTTCACATAAAACATATGTTCAAAAAGCATACTCATGACCTGAACTAAAATCAAAAGAATCAATATTTAAAGGTAACAACAGTGATGCGATTTATATGCAATTTTTCTTTAATTTGTTCAACATTTATAACAAGTAGACACCCCCAGAACCTTGTTTCAATTTCCAAAATTCTTTTTCTAAGTGGTCATTTGTAAACAAACCAATAAGAAAGTAATCATGACTTTTTGCTAATAAATATTTACTTAGCTCGACAACACCATTGCAAGTATGGTGAATTGATTTTGCAGTATCATTAGATAACTGCTTTACTTTTTTGACATTTTTACAACACAATTCGAGAGCCAAATAACCAAACTGAAGTAGAGTATTAAGGCGGCAGTGAATCATTGTGCTTCTAGTGGATCATTGTGTTTTCCATCAGCTTCACAATCTTTCACATCAAAAATATTCCACCAGGTTATTACTCTATTTATAAATATTGCAGTTTCCTAAGAGTTTGAAACTATTTGAGAATAGGTCAGCAAGACATGATATGTCTAATCTGAATAAAATTTTAGGCAAGTAAATACATTTTGCCTTTCAATTGGCTTGGAATCTATTTCAATTTCATTTATGTATGACAATTTGACTAACTTTTTTGATTCTAACTAATATAAGCATTCAAGGTGCTCCCATTTAGCTGTTTTTTGAATACCATTATCACGGTGCTCTAGTTCCATAGTTTTTTCTGGAAGTCATAAATTCCAAATGTTATTCAAAAGATGAACAAAGTCAAAACGTAAATGCATCCCATCTTCCGTTTTCCAAAGTTTTTCTTAAATAGTACAATCTAATTTAAAAAATGCTTGGTTTACACGATTTTGATAACAATTTTTACATTGTCAAATGACGATTTTATAAGTTTTATGCTGGCGTTTAATTGTTCAAACAGAAAATTTAAACTTAATTTTGATATTGGATTATCTTATACAGGAATTTTGGACCACCTTTGAAACATAATATCATAATTTCCTTTTTTTGATTTTTACTGTCATCGACCAATCATTTTTCGGAACAGAGCAAAAACTATAATACCAAGTGTAGTAACTATACTTTTTTGCCGACCCCATCTTTTTCAATGGATAACAGATACTTATGGAACTCGTAAGTTAGAAAATTAGTCATTGAACAATGATTTATTAACATAAAAAGAGGCTTTTTATTTACAAATAAAATTGAGTCTTCAACTTGATCCCAAATAGGGTTGCTATCTAGTTTTATTTCAACTGAAAAATTTTAACTCACGGTATTGGAACTATTACTAGTTGCTCTCCTCGATTTAGCCCAACTATATGAGAGTAAACAATCCAGAGTGTTGACTGTATATATATTTTATAACTTATACCTATATTTTACATATATTTTATAACTTATAAAATTTTTATTTAAAACATCTATATTTCTGGTAAATATATTGCTTTTGTTGTTGTTGTTATTAACAGGTCAAAGGTTACGCAACCTGTAAAATGTGTATATATATATATATATATATATATACATATATATATACGTCTATATACATACACAAACATGCATACTAACACATACACACATGCATATACATATATACATATCGCCTCTTATTGCTATTTTCATAATAAAATGAATAAAATTCCATTGGCAACAAAATATATAAAAGTTTCAAAAATAAAATAAATTTATAATAATTTACAAACAGATATTGCATATTTAAAGTAAATAAAAAACGAATATTTTTTTAATAAATATAATATTTAAAATAAATTTTTTTCAAAAAAGTGTGATAAAGACACTCATATTCTTAATAGAATAGTTGTTTTTCTTAATATATTAAAGTTAATAAAGTTAATTTATTGTTATAAATTTAGTTTGATAACTTCTAAAAAAGACTGGAAATATTTAGAATATTAAAATCCCTTTTTAATAAATTATATTTTAAATTAGCTTCGAATTGCGGAAATGTTTGTTCTGTATTATGAACAATCTGTTGAAAACTTTTCCATTGGTCTCCGATACTGAAAAGAAAAAGAACATTAGATTATATTTTGGAGTTACAAAATTGAATTTAGAGAATCTGATGGGGGTATTTGTGGCTTATTTCACAGAAATATTGATTAAACATAGTTAGAGACAGTTATTGTTTTATTTTATATATGGATTGTAAGACTAAATATATATTAAGTTTGAACACATTTAATGACCCAAGCTTACTTAGAAGTGGTTCGCAAGGCACATTTTTTGTTGCTCCAAATACAATTCTCTAAGCATGTTTTTGTTTCGAATAAATTTTTTTCAACTTTGTGTAATTATTACTTGACCATACAATATTTCCGTAAGTTAAAATAACTATGTATAAAAGAAAAAACATAAATTTTTTGAAGACCTAATATTTAAGAATGTTTTTGCTTTATAAATTACTGCAATATTTCTTGAAAGTTTTCTTTCCAAAGAGCTTATATGAGTCTTCCAAGATAAATTTTCATCTGAAAAAACACCTAAGTAATATTAACTTTATTTATTTTAAGATCATGAATTTTTAGAGAAAGATTATATGTTTTATTTTGTTTATAAAATAGTATATACTTAGTTTTTGTAACGTTAAGCGATAGTTTATTACATATAAACCGTTTATTTGTTCAACTCTTCATTTACTACTTTAAAAAGTGTTTTATTATCCCTATGTAAATAAAACATATTGGAGTCATCTGCAAATAAAATAAAGTTTAATAAATTTGATGTAAAAGATAAATCATTTCTATAAAGCGAAATTAATAGCGGTCCTTAAATCGATTTTTGGACGTTTTATCTGTTTCATATTGTATAAACTGTTTTCTGATTGATAAACATTTTTTAAACCAAAGTAAGTTATTGTTTTTTATTCCATAATGTTCAAGTTTTTCAAGAAGAATGACATAATTGAAGGTGCCAAAGGCTTTAAACAGATCAATAATAACTCCTGATGTCAAACAATCATCATTACCCTGTGGGCACAACTACGTTTTGCAAACGTTTTTTTAACGGTTTTTTAAACGTCCATATAAAAAGGTGACTGGACGTTTTTTAAAAACGTTTGTGAACGTTCTTAAATGGATCTACAAATACATTTTTTATTGGTTTTTTGAACGGCCATATAACGCGGTGACCGGACTTTTTTCTAAAAACGTTATTTATTGGTTTTTATTACATCTAAATGAAATATTTTGTCGTTTTTAACATTTTTCTAACAAACTTTTTTTTAAGTATAAGTTATTTAAGTAATTAAAATATGATGTACAGAAAAAAAAACCTTTTCACAAATGAAAGATTAGGTCTAACAGTCGAGATCCGGATAAGTAACTAAAGGTTTAAACACTTTGTGTTTATTTACAATTTAAGCATACAAAATATAATAAAGTAGTTTTTTTTTGCTACTCTATTAAGCTATTTATTCTATTATTCTTTTCAAACAATCGCCTTTCAACTTATCGACCAAATCGAAATTTGCTGGTTGTGCCACTAATGTTCCTAAAAAAAGAAAAATGTCATAGTAATCTTTCATGCATTTCACTAGCATGTAAAAAAATGCATCAAAATGTAAATTATAATAATTAGAAATGAGTAATGGAAAATATCATACAATATATTAAAGGAACAATATAAAAATTTAAAAAGTATCTATAATTACTCTACTCGATAAAGTTTTTTTTAAATGATTTATTTCCAAAAATTCCAGCTTGCTTACACTTTGGTAGCACACATATTTGACATTAATTCACCTTCATCAAAACTTGTTATATCATTTATTTTATCATAATAAAATTATGAATCTTCAAACTCAGTCTTTTCCCCTAAGATATCCACTGCCGGTAAAGTCTTTTTAAGACTTTAGGCATCGTAGTTCCATATATATTGCAGATTGAAAACTTATTAAAAAAAAAAAAGTTCGAACTAAGTAAAATATTAATAAAAATCTGTTGTGAAATACTGAAAAATAAATTACAATAAACATCTTTTAAAAAAGGAAAAAAACAAAAATACAATAAACATCTTCAAAAAAATGAAAAGACAACATTTAATAACATTCTTCTTTTACTAATAGATTTCAAACTTGATGTCAGTTTATCATAACAATAAAGTGCAGCAATGCTTCGCTGAAATTCTTTTTTAACTTGTTGAAGAAATTTTTTATGTATTATTTATTACGTATTATTATGTATAATGTATTATTTAGCAACTTGTTAAAAATAGATACACAAAAATATTTCGAAAACTATTTATCTGATTTTATAAAGCAAAAAATCTTGAATAAAAACAGATGAATTTATATTTTGCAAATGTTGGCACTTTAACACAAGGACTTGCTTCTTTAATGTGTAAACAATTGTGATGTTTCACTTATTGTTTTTAAAATTGATAATAAAAAAAAATACCAAAATTGCACACTTCAATCTTATATAAAAGCTTACATCGAAGTATTTAGTTAAGAATATTAAATATAACACCGTTTTTGAAAAATTATACAAAAACTTGCATATATGAATTAAAGTTAAAAAAACAACCTGATTCCTAAAGTATAGAACTTGGAGACTCTGAATAACTTTATGAGTGCATCTTACATCTTTTTAGTTCTTTTGTCAAAATTTAGGTTTGTCAATATTTATAATTGCCTTTCTTTAAATATTTTTTTATTTTTAACTTAACGTATTGTCGCTTTTTTAATTTTTTTCTAATAGATGATTGTTTATACTGAGTAAAGTCTTCCGAATAGGCTAAAAAAAATCATGACTCAATATTATACACTACAGTATCGGACAAAACAAGTGCAACCAAATAATGCTAATTTAATTCCTTTATATAAAAGTGCTGCATTTTTTCAATTTAGAGAAAATAACTATGTAACTGTTTAGAGACAACGTTCTTCAAGTTTTATTCATCACAAAGTTCATTGTTTGTGCACGAAAATTAATAAATTATTCAAAAGTATTAAAAAAAATTGATTTTCTTCTCGACAAAACAAGTGCAACTCCAAAAAAAGTTGACCAAGCTGTATTTCACTATCAAAATTTTGAGCTGAATCCTTTGTTGTCGATCACAGTCTTGTATCTTCGAGACATAGATTTGATCAGGTGATCAATGAAACTTTGTGGAATCACTGCCCAGGCCTTTTGGATTTATTCAAACAGTTGATCCTTATTACGAACACCTTCACAATTAATTCTGCGATTGATAATCTCCCACAGGTTCTCAATAGGGTTGAAATCCGGAGATTGAGGCGGCCACTCCATCACCGATAGGTGGTTGTCTTGAAACTACTGCTTGACTACTTTTGCAGTGTGTTTCGGATCGTTGTCTTGCTGAAAAACCCATTTTATTGGCATATTCTATTCAGCATGAGGTAACATAACATCTTTCAGGATATTCCATCGATTCGATTTATTCCATCAATTCGATGTATTGGACCTAGAGCGTTTGCAGAAAAACACCGCCAGACATTGCCTCAACCATGCTTCAAGGTCTTATATCAGTAACGTAAATCTAGGCGTTTTCCGGCCGGTCGACAAACACGGCAAATGCCATCGCTCCCAATAATGTTAAAATTTGATTCATTACTGAAGAGGACAATTCGCCATTTCTGCACATTCCAGTTAATATGAGATGCAGCAAACAGGAGTCTTTACTTCTGGTTATTTAGTGAAATCAGCGGTTTCTTTGCAGAGCGTCGAGAAAACAATCTGGCTTCAAAAGCACGTTGTCTGATTGTTCGGTCCAATACAGGCAGCTCTAATTGCTTTTGTATCTCGATTGATGATATCCAGGGATCCGTCTTGACGGATCTGACGATCATAGAACCCTCTCTAGAAGTGGTGAAACGCGATCTTCCACCTTTGTTATCTGCTGCCAACTTCCCCGTAGAACGATTTTTGGAACATAGTCTTGATACGATCCATTTTTTCACGCGATATTTATCACAAAAACTTTTTTGTGACATTCCACTTAGGTAATCTCTAATTATTTTCTTAGTTCCAATCCAAGATTGTCGGGAGCCATATTTTTACTTGAAGTCATAAAAATAATAAAAAAAAATAATCACGCTTCTCAAGGTTTACCGTGTTACATTTACCTTGTGATGATACAACAATGCTCTGTGGAATACAACGTTTTGGTTGGATGTGGACTGTATTGATGTAATGAAACACTTGTTTTATTTCACTTCTTGTGTTAATGTTCTTCGATAAAACACTTTAAATAAACTCACTTCTATAAACTGTCTTGATAATACTGACTGATTTACTTCCATATACTGACTGAATTACATGTCGGTTTACATGTCTCTTATATAGTAAAATGAACCTGTGTGAACCTGTTCTGGAAGATTCTTGATACTTCTTTTCGATGCTTCTGGAAGCTTTTGGATGTTTCTGAATGTTTTTGGATACTTCTGCATGCTTCTGGATGCTTCCAGATGTTTCTTCTGGAAACTTCTGGATGCTTCTGCATGCTTCTTGAAACCTCTGGAAACTTCTGGATACTTCCTTTAATTATTAAAAAACTTCAGTGACGTTGACACGGACCAAAATGAAACAAACCAAAAAGTTGCACTTGTTTTATCCACTGCAAAATGGCACTTGTCAACGAAATTCTGCCTGTGTGCTGTCACCTTTGAGCTAATTGCTCATGTCATGGCATGCTATGACTCCAGACTCCTGAACTGCTTGCTGTGGTAGCATAGTTCGTTTCGTTTTTAAGACATGTAAATTAGGAACACTTTTTAGCATTGTTCGATTTTGGTTGCAAATATTTTGTCCAATACTGTACTTGTATAAATCATGTAGAGCAATTGCTTACTGGAGTAGAAACAATCTAGATAGAAATAGCTATATACATTTATTAAAAGATTTATTTATGAAATGATTGCAACATAAACTTACTTTATGTTAGGTTGTGATCATTTTAATGTAACTATACTTGCATTTTTGTTACTCATAATTGAGAATGGTAGCTTAACTTTTTTCAGAATATACAAAAAATAACTTTACATACATAAAAAAATAATTATAAACAAACACACACACACATACACACACACACATATGTATATATATATATATATATATATATATATATATATATATATATATATATATAAATATATATATATATATAAATATACATACATATATATGTGTATATTTATATATATATATATATATATATATATATATATATATATATATATATATATATATATATATATATATATATACATATATATATATATATATATATATGTATATATATATATATATATATATATATATATATATATATATATATATATATATATATATATATATATATATTTATATATATATATATATATATAAATATATTTATATATATTTATATATATATAATTTAATTTGGTCAAAAAATCTATATTAAATTATATATATATAAATATATTTATATATATTTATATATATATAATTTAATTTGGTCAAAAAATCCATTATTTCCATGTTCATAAAAGTAGTTGCATGAATTTTGCGAAGCATTAGATTCAGAAAAATAATTTAGATCAGGACCAGATTCATTGTCTAATAAAAAATCATTAGTTTGAAAAAATTACAAAAACAAGACTCATAATTAATGGTTTCGGTAGAATTCATTTTTATTTTGTTATAATGATAAATCAATAAGATCAAAGCATTTCTTTTATAATTCTCATTATAATGTGATTAATTTATTATATACGACTTTAGCGTACTTACCATACGCTTTCAATTCTGTTGCTTCGATTAGGAGTTTTCTTCGCAACTCCAGCGCATGTTAATTATAATCCTCATTTATGTAAACTTTTTCAGTCCATAATTTCATTGTAGTGTAATTTCTTAATATCGTAGATTTGTGTTTATAATTTAGAAATATGACGGCAAAAGACCTGATTTTTTTATTATCACCCAGTAATTTCTTCCCAACTCGATTAGGTCTTTCGATTTCAAAGTTTCTTTCTAAATGAAAATTATTATCTAAAAATTCCCTTACTTTCGTTTCACTCTCTTCCCAACTTTTCGTTTTCCACAATCCCACTAAATCTCAAGTTGTTGCGCCGACTTCTATCTTCGAGTTCTGCTAACTTGTTATTCATATCGTTTTCATTTCATTAGTTGTTAATGCTTTAGGCGCTTGATGATTAGCAACTAATTAATCATAATTAATACTCATACACTCTTCTGATTTTTTAAGTTCGCCCTTTTTTAATTCCTTATTCTTGTCAATTACTGTATTTAATTTGATTTCAAGTTTATCAATTTTATCATTAAATATTTTCATAAGTGTATTTTCATGAATTTCCAATATGTCTTTTAATTGCGCAGATGAAAATTTGTGAGCCATTTTTCAAGATTTCAGTATATAGAACGTCCTACGTAAGTAGAAGGCCCGCTTATTGCGAAATTTGACGTCACATTAATAGTCAATTTATATTTTTCTCGTTTTAAAAAGATTTATTTTAATTTTAAGCTTATGCAAGATTAATTTTTTATATTTCGTTCAATTTAGATTATCTGATTACAAAAAAAAAAGTTAATAAAAAAGTTATAATAACAACAATCGCATTTATTTTGAAAGAAGATTTTTATTTTTTTTACGGTTAGTTTTTTTACAAGATTTTTCTCATGAATTAAATTTAAAAAAATATATATTAAAGTCTCATTAATGCTATTAAATTCTTATTTTTTTATTATTAAAGTAACTTTAGCAGTATTCTTAAATGATAATTTATATAAGTTGCCAGTAATACTTTTGAGACTTTTATATACATTTTTTTCCTACGTTTTGAAAGTTATCAGCTCTTTTTACGAGAATTGTTTTTAGTAGTGTACATATGGCAAGTCGTGCAATGTAAAGTATTAAAATAGGACAACTGCATACACCATCATTCATCTCAAGAAACCCTAAACTCTAAATTGATAAAGAAGCAAGGTTTTGTTTGTGCTTTGACGTCAACAAATACTTGGATTCATATTTAAAAAATAAAAACATTTGTTTTTAGTTGCAACAATAATTTTGTTTGCCGTATCAACCGTATACAATCTTAATTAAATAGGTA